GAGTGCATTAAAATACTGTGCTCTGGAAATTTTGGGGCACTTGAATGTGATGAGATGACAGCCCTTAGGATAAAAAGGTGTGCAGCCTAGGCTAGCATGAATGCGTGAAGGGGGTTTACCCAGCCACAAAGGGTCAGGAGCAAATTCATACTTTCCGACCTCTTATGTAAACCACACACAGTCAAACAAAGTGTTAATGGAAAGAAAAATAAATAAAAAATTTTATAAAGATAAAAAGAAAGTGAGTTTTAATGGTTTAATTACATCCCCTCAAAAGACAGTTTCAAGATATAGGCCCTAGTACTTGTGACTGTAATCTTCTTGGAAACAGCCTTTACAGATGCAATGAAGATAAAGCCATACTGAGATGGAATGGGACTTAACCCAATACTGTAAAAACAGACACACAAGAGAAAGAGGCCATGTTGGAGACAGAGACAGAGATTAGAGTTATATTGCCTCAATAAGAAGATTAAGTAACTCTCCTAAGTCCTGTGAACAGAAAATGTTGAAATCAAGGGAATGAACTACATTTATCCTTATTTCAAAGAAAAGATATTCAAGAAACAAGTTGTGCTGATATGTAAGAGTGGGATTCTGAAGGGTCAGGCCTCTTTCCCATGAACTGGAAAAAAATTAAAAATAGCTTTACCACTGGAAAAGGTAAGTTTTAGTATTTGCCTTGCAGAGGAAAGTCCAAGATCTTTCCCGTGGTTCTCTCTCTCTATCCCTCCCCCAGCTGTAGGTTAGGCAGCAGGGTAGCTGCAAACATTTCTTCTCCAGGAGGAAGGTTACAGCATGAAGGAGGCTGTACTTGAGAGGACAGTATAGCATTCTAGCTCTGAAAAAAAATGTCTGGAGATGACCTTGAACACCAAATGCCTTCCAATAGAAATTACCTTTTCACTGTAGTCATGAGAGTAGGACCTCTTGAGAAATATGAGAGAAAAGAAGAAGAAAGACATTTCCTCCTTCCTATTGAATGTTCTGGAGAACTGATACTTTGTGGACTGACAAGACTGTGGAAGGGAGAAAAAAAAAAGCCGCTTTTCCTAATGTTATCCTCAGCTCTGTGTATACCATAAGTAACTATAAACACTGCCTCTGCTTCAGAAGAAGGTAAAGAAGTAGCAGAAAGCCTTCCTTTATGCCAGAGGATCAGACAATGTGCTAGGTATACCTCTGAGTGGTTGAACTTACTCTCTGCCTTGAGTAGCCCCCAGATCTCCCTGTGGAAGACTCATTCAGTCATCAAAACCTATTTCAGCCCCTAGCTGTGAAGTTTCTGAGGCTCCTCTGTTCTTATTATCCTGCTCTTAGACGAGGGGACCATCCCTCTTGTGAGCCACTGCTGTAACTTGCATACATTCCTATGCTAAAATTTATCCCTCTGAATTTCTATTGTTTGGTTAAATGATTGTGTCCTTTGTTAAACTCCAATCACCTTAAAGTCAAAGATGGTGTCTTATTACTTCTTGTATCTCCAGTGTCTGACATGGACCTGGTAAATATTTTTCCATGAATAGAAATTCACTCTATACCATGAAAATCATATTTAGAATCATTGTGATTATTAAGAATATGATCTCCATTATGATATCAACATATGACTATTAACTTAAAATTCGTTAAAATTACATAAAATTTCAAAGTAAGTTCTTGAATCCTTTCACATTTCTCATGCTCCACAGTCAAGTTTGGTTGGTGGATACAGGCCTGAACAGTATTGATATAGAACACTTTCAAAATTGAACAGTGTTGTGGAAGAATATTTTCAATGTTTTATGAACAGATGTATCCTTTTTGAAAAGTGAAGACACTAATTTGAACTGGTGAGATTGTCCATTATTTTATATCCCTAAATTATATGGGAGATGTTCAGTGATTCCTCATTGTTGGGTACAATCTATTTTAAAGTAGCAGAAGACAAGACATTGAAGTGATGGAAAATTTGCCTTTCTTACTTACAAACTGTGTATCCATGGGAAAATTACTTGGCTTCTTTAGGGCTCCGTTTGCTCATCTGTAAAAGGGATATTAAATAACCATAGATAGTCCACAGAGCTGTTGTAAATATTAAATAAGATGCTTTGTGTGTGTATGTTAGTCGCTCAGTTGTGTCCAACTCTTTGCAACCCTATGAGCTATGGTCTGCCAGCCTCCTCTGCTCATGGGATTTCCCAGGCAAGAGTACTAGAGTGGTTGCTGTTCCCTTTGCCAGAGGATCTTCTCGATCCAGGGATTGAACCTGGGTCTTCTGCATTGCAGGCAGATTCTTTACCGACTGAGCCATCAAGGAAACCCCAAATAGGATGCTTTATATCCAGTTAAATAATAATATTCAATAAATTACAGTGATTATCTTTATGGAACCTGCACCTCAATACTCTAACCCATTAACACAGAGGAACTTCTGAGGACCATGAATAGATTCCCTTCTTAGTTTTTAAGACTATCACCTTTGGTCTTGACATGCTATGAACTATATAAATTTTTGCAAAAGCAAAACCTGATTCTAATCTGACCAGGACTCTGATTCTGACTCTGCATTTCCAATATCTCAATTTCATTATCTGTGAAATGGAATAACACAGTCTTATGGAATTTTTGTGATAAGTAGACATGGTCCCAAAAGAGCCAAATACAAAAGCTGGCAATTTGTTGTATGCACTGAATAGATTCCTGAAATAAAAGTCTATTTCTGCTTACTGTTATTGTTGTTGTTCTTATCTGTCTACCAAGAGTTATCACATGTCTGCAATACATTCACTGCTAGGTTTATTGAATAAATGAATGAACAACAGAATGAATAGAGTATGCTAAAGCAGTAAATAGCTTCTTCCAGTTATGGACTGATAACGGATTGTGAATAAATATCACTAGCATGATCACTTCATGGGAGTCTGCTACATAATTAAACTGCTCCTACAGAGCTTTGTATATTCCAGCTTTGTATACCCTCCTTTGTATATGAGGAGAATATGATTTTAACCAAAACAGCTTAGAGCTTAAGCTTTGATTCTTATGACCCTCATGAGTATGCAAATATTATTTTGGTTTGCTGCTATATTTATGTACAATACATAATTGACTGCCCATTAATATTGACAGTGTGCATTTTCTGTTTACACTTCGATTTTTTACACTAACCACATTTTTTTTCAATAAGTAAACTCTGCTTTAGTCAAAGCCATTATAAAAGCAGTCTAGTGTTTCACAACAGAAAATCAGATTTAGCTAATCATTTGACAAAGTTTTATCAAATATTTTTGTGTTTCTTAGCACCTCTGCATTAGCATCTCTGCTCAGTGCAGAAAAGTCTAAAATAAACAGGGTCAGAAAAACGGCCTGGGATGACCTACAAATGTAGTACTTAGATGAGTGTGTGCTAAGTTGCTTCAGTCGTGACCCACTGTTTACAACCCAAGAACTGTAGCCCACCAGGCTCCTCTGTCCATGCAATCCTCTAGGCAAGAACACTGGAGTAGTTTGCTGTGTCCGCCTCCAGGGGATCTTCCCAACCAGAGATCAAACCTTCATCTCTTATGTTCTTGCACTGGCAGGCGAATTTTTTTAACACTAAGGCCACCCGGGAAGCCCATGCTTAGCTGAGGCTGGTTGAACGTGTTCAATGGCCCTACTGGTACAATTACAGTGTCTGGTCTAGTTATTCTCTGAGTGTTCTGAATAGATCCATTCCCCTTTCCTCACCCCTCAGCCCAGGAGGAGGCTTAATCTCTCTGGTTTTCTTGATGGGTTCTCTTTCCTTTAGGTTTGATCAGTGGGAGGACCTGAAGTAGGAAGGAAAGTTCTTCAGTTCTTCACCTCTGGTGGGTACTGCATCCCACCAGGAGCATGGCTCCCTGGACATGTCCTCTCACTTAGCTCCGGAAATTCAGTTCTTCTCCTGTCCATCAGCCATGTGGGTGGGAATGCCTTTCTTCCATTGTTCATTCTTAGCTGCCTCACCATCCCTTGTTTCATGTGGTTAACTCTGAGCACCCTCTAGAACAGACCCATCATCAAATTACTTTCATTTAAATTCTGTGGGGTGAATTCTGTTTTCTACCAGACCCTGACTTGTAAAATTAAAAGAGAAAGCTCTGTTGCCAGGTATTTCCCAAGTATTTGACTATGGGAAAGTTACGAAATTTCTCCTAATTTTAGTTGACTTTTCTACAAAATGGGGATAACAATAGTATTTACTCTATAGGGTTGTGAAGTTTGTATGTGATAGTGAGAGACAATCTCATGACTTTTCCTGGAATTTTGTGTTAATATGCTTTTGTCTGGGGGGCAGTGATGGAGGAAGTTCATATTTTGCAGCCGTAGGAGAGGCCAGCCTGAAAACATAATGCAGGAAGGCAAAGCTGAAAGAATTGATGAGAAACTCTGCGAAAGGTTAATCTACTAGCAAGACTGTTTTGTATTCCCCTTCATAGTTAAACCAGTTTGGGTTGCAGTATTTACAATCAGAAAACATACAAGATTATAGAAGAAATAAAGTGTTCTCATATGTTTGCTTGTTAGATGTTGATAGCATACACGTACTTTTTGATAATATTTACTCTTGGTAAAGCAGCCCATTTCCCAGGCTTGTTGAACGATCTGCTTTGATAGCTATTTTTAAATTCTACACAAAAGAATTTATAGAACCAAAGGTTTAACTAAATGTAGGAAATATTTCTAATATAGCTGGTAAGTACAGAAATGTTTTTGTGAGCAGATTGATTACACACATAGTTTTAAAGCTGATTTAGTATCCAGTAACTGAAAATACTCTTTTTTTAGACCAATAAGAAAAAGTCAGTTTTGTGCCTTATCAGCTTAACACTTAATATAGATAAAGTAAGTTATAATACACAAACATCAAAGGACAGGGGTAGAATACAAACCTGAGAACTTGAAAATATGTGCTATTTTTTTTCAAGAAAGCAATGTCTACTCTCTTCAGAAGATTAAGTTTAGGGAAGATTTAAAATTACACCTTTATACAATAGTAATTTTAAATGTACTTGTGAATTTATTTTTTTCACAACAATGACATTAGCAAAAATTTTACATAGCCTGGATTGAATTCACACACTCAAATGAGGCTTTATCAATAATAGTGGGGATGAATACATTGCTAGACTATGTCAACGGAGCTAACCCCCCCTATGAGTTACAGAAGATTGATACCATTTTTATTTGATTCTTTCTGGAAATTAAATGCTCTACTAAAATTGTTTACTCCAAATTTTACATTTAGTGAAATAAGAATATCTGCAATAGCTCAGTTAACATCAATAATAAGCTTCAAAAAAGGATTCTGAAAATGCCAGGCAAAATATTTTTTATTGTAGGCAATTATTTAAACTGCATATTTGGCTTTATGCATAATAAGTCATGTGGGAAAAACATCCACATTGCAGATAGATTTCCAGTATCTAGTTTTCTTTTTTTTTGGTTTTTTTTTTCCGAGCAATGACATTAATGGGATTTTGCCAGGTTATAAAAATGAGGGCTTTCTTGGGAGCTACTTGTAGTTTCCAAGCTGAACGGCAGCACGCACATAAACACATCGGAAGGTGGATGGCTGGATTTCCCAGTATTGGACTGGGTTGCTGAAAAGGCTCACTCCTGAATAAGAAGCCTTTTTGGTGTTGTATCCAGGTGGGCAGAAGTCGTTAGAGCCGATTACAGAGATATTGTTGTTGTGAAGGTAGACAACCTGCAACCCGAAATAATGGTACATGGTTATTTTTCTCTAAAAATACAGAGACCGTACAGGTGAACACTACTTAATTCTTTTTAGCATGCTCATCCTTCAGTTTAAATACCTTAATACTCATCAAACCAAATGTTTGATTTCTCTCTTTTTAATCTTGTTTTTCCTCTCCTTAGTCTTCCTCATCTCGGTATATGGCATTTCAGTCTTTCCAGATGACTGAGGCTAAAAACATTGTCATCATCCTTGACTCTCCCTGCCTTATACTTTCTGTCCTACCATCAACAAATCCTGCTAGTGTAACCTTAGAAATGCACGTGTAATCCAGTTCTTCTCCCCATATCCTACAACCTTACCCAAAACCACTATTATCTCCTTCTAAATTATTGAAGTTGCCCTGATTGTTCTTCCTGTTTCCTCTTTTGCCTTCTTGAAGTCTGTTCTTTCTTTCTTTCTCTTTTCTACCTTCCTGCTTTCCTTCCTTCCAGCTATAATTTTAAAAAGTAAGCAAGTTGTATCATCTTGGCTCAGTACCCCAGCAGCTTCCCACCTCATGCAGAGTAAAGTCTAAAGTTCTCACAATGGTTGACACATCCTACTTGATCTGGCCATCCTTCTACTCTGAGCTCATCTTTCTTCACTGTTCAGTCTAACTCCCCTGACCTACTCACTTCTCTTCAACTAGAGCACTGTCCCTCCTCAGGTTGACACACACCATATCCTTGTTTTGCCATAAGCTCCAAGATGTCTGCCAGGCTTCTGACTCATGTAATTCATTTATCCTTACCAAAGAAATCTTTCTTATATCCCATTCTGCTATTTGCTGTTCCAGTTATATTTATTTTTATTCAGAGCAATGATCACTATATTTGCTTTTTGTCTGGCTTGCTTCTCTAAAATAAAAGCTCTATTAAGCTTTTATTAAGCTTTTATTAAGCTTTTTTTTTTTTTAAAGTGGGAAACCTGTTCTGCTTTGTTTGTGACTCTATCTCTGGTGTCTGCTAGAACAGAGTAGATGTTCAATAAATATTTGTTGAATGAATAAATGAATGATGTCATGGTTATTTCATAAATTGTGCCCACATTGAATATTATGTTTTCAGGAAAAAGATAAAATTATAGATTATTAAAAGAATTACTTAAAATAAGGAAGTAATATAGTGAAGTATAAGAGGGTATAGAGTATTAGAATCAGAATTAAAAATCACAAACTCTAAGAAATACTTGAATGTCACTGTATTTGGAATAAGCAGACGTAGAAATTTTTAACAAAGATGTATTCTGTTACAAGTTTTACTCAATGAATATAATATTATAGTTCATTAGAAATTTTTTCCAAAATGTATTTTATGGCTATGTTTAAGACAATGCAATTTGTTCATAGATTTTTTTTTTTTTTTAGCAAAACTAAATATCAGACTTAAAAAGAAGTTTGGGAATGAGCTTTTAGTCCCATTATTTATATGTGAATTCTGAAGAATAGAAGTGATTGATCATAAAACCAAGGCAAAAATATAATGGTAAAGTAATAATTTCTAAAGAAAGCTATAAAATCTATGAGGTCCTTCCTTAAAATAACTGACTTGAAATACTGTTCCACCTACCAGAATATTTGTACTTATATTCTGGTGAAGACTCTTGATTAAGAAAAGGTTTAGAAAGAGAACAATAGATGTCTTACAAAAACAGAAACAAGGGATATTAATATCAAAACAATATCTGTAAAGTTTATATGTGTGTGTATATGTGTATGTGATTCTCAAACTTTGAAAATTTCTTCTTGTCATTTGACAGTCTCCATTGCTTAACAATAATTAAGAAGAAAGGAGAGGTGCTTGGTGGGAGTTTATGGCTAATAGTTAAAATAAGAGAAGGAAATATCAAGACATAAAGCAAGTGTTAGTCTGTGTAAAAAGGAAATTAAATTTCCAACTCATTAGATGAGGTCAATATTTTCTTACAGCTAGTCAAAAATCATTACAAAAAAGAAAGCTATAGTCAAAATATCACATATGAATACAGACAAAAAATTAACAAAATATTAGGAAATTGTATATCACAACATATAAAAGGACAGTTCACCATGGTCAAAACCAAACATGATTTTTCTCAAGGATGTAAAATTTATTTAACTGGAAATCAATCAAGTTAATACAACATATTAAAGGAATAAAAACAAAATCACATGATCATCTCAACAGAAAAAGAAAACATTGGGAAGAAAAAACACACATTCATGACAAAAATTTTCAGTAAACTAAAAATCAAAGGAAACATTTTTAACTTGATAAAGAGCATCTACAAAAGACTTATAGCTAGCATCATGCCTAATGACAAAAGGTTGATTTCCCTTGTAAAATAAGGATCAAAGAGGTCTAATTTCTTTTTTTTTAAATTGGAGGTCACATGTACCCCAGTGTTCAAAGATGTCTGATTTCATCACTTCTACCAACATCGTATCATAGATTCTAGCCAATGCAATGAAGTAAGAAAAGAAATTTTAAAAATTCATATAAGAAAGAATAATTAAAATTCTCTTTATTTACAAATTATAAGATCCTGATGTAGAATATCCAAAAGAATGTATTAAAAGTACTACAACTAAAAACAATTTTAGCACAGGATACTAGCACTAGGACAGAAGATAGATATACAAAAATCAATTGAATTTCTATAAACTAACAAAAAAATTCAAAAATAAAATTAAAATAAATAAGTAAAATTAAGGGAAACCATCCATAACAGCACCAAAAATAACACAAAATTTAGAAATGAACTTAATAAATTGTAAAATTTACATATTAAAAATGCCAAAATATTGTTGTATTTGAGAAAATAAAGACAAAATAGAAAGATATTCCATGTTTGTGTATTGGAAGACTCAAAGTTATTACAAGAAAAATTCTTCCCTGAATGATCTATAGATTCAACACAGTTCCTATCGAAGCCCTAGCAATCTATTCGAGAAGAAATGAACAAGCGGGCCCTAAAACTTGAACGGAATGCAAAGAAACAGGAACAGGTAAAATTTTGAAAAATAAGAACAAGGTTAGAGGAACTTCACTTCTAATTTCTAAACATAATCAAAAGTTACAATTATCAAAAGGTGTAGTACTAGCAAAACAAACTGTGGTACATCCATACAATGAAGTGCAATTCATCAATAAAAATGAATGAATTACTGACATATGCTGTGATATGGATGACCTAAAATTACTCTGATAAGTGAAAGAAGCCAACCACAAAAGCCACACATTGTATGATTACATTTAGAAATGTCTAGAAAAGAAAAATATATAGAGACAGAAAACAGATGACTGATTCCCTATGCCTGGGGACGAGATTGAGAACAACTAGAAATAAATATATAAGAGGCCTATTTTGGAGGTAATCAAAATATTCTAAAGCTAGATTGCGGTGATAGTTGGATAATTTCATAATTTTACTAAAAATATTTGGACTATATGGATATAGAAAAAAAAGTACAGTAGGTAAAACCTCTAAGAGCCTCTAGAAATGCAGGTAATATGAGTACATGGAATCCAATTAGAAATGGGAAACTAAGAGTAAGGTCCTTCTGAATGTGGGGACTTGTGTAAATGTCCATGAAATTTGCTGATATTCAACAAATATTTCAAAATGTCATGTTTCATAATTTTTTCTCTGTGACCACAGTAAGACACAATATATTGAGCTTTTAGTACGCATAACCTTTTTAAAATGCATAATTTAAATAACATGTTTGTTTAATTTCCTCAGGGTAACAATGGAAATCTTTTATTATTATATATGAAATCACTATGACTACTTAAAGTAATAAGCATGACTTACATTTATAGATTTATGAACTGTAAAGCTCTATTAGCATAGTGAACCACTGAACCATATCTTCTTATCTTTAAGAATACACAATAACTGATAATTTATATGAAGTTAATTTGGTCACACTGCTAGGTAAACATTGCCTTTTGACCTACAAGATGTCTGTTAAACTCAAAGTTAAAACTACCATTTTATTTCATATCTATAGATTACAGATGATATCTAACCACTATGTGTTTGTTACACTTATCTGTGACTTGAAACTACCTTGCTTTGTAAAAAAAAAAAATTACATTCTGGAAGCAAGTATTATAGTAAGTTCAAGGTAGTAGTCCTAATTTTTAAAAAATTAATACTAATTTAAACCTATATGTCTCACAGAACCAGAATGAAAATTCATGTAGAAACATTAAAAATATCTCTCGGCAAAAACATTTCTAAGCAGAACTTCCTGCCTCCAGGCATACCAGTAGGGATGATTTGCTCCCTAGATATTCCTCACAATAGTTAGTGGCTTTATATTACCTGGATGTACTTATGATCGGCCAGCCCACCAGGCACTTTGATAAGCTTGTTGTTGTTCAAATGAAGTTCCCTCAAATGAGGAGTGTTGGCTAAAGACCCATTGTCAACAGCAGAGATGCTGTTGAAACTCAGTCCCAACCTGCAACAGAAAACAGAAATGAATGGATCCACTGCACGTGGATGCCTTCTTACAATAAGAAAGGAATTATTTTGTTTTGTTTTTGTACTTCCTGTTACCTCTGCCTAATGTGATTTTTTCCAAACTATCTGAGCTTGGATAGAGCCCATTTGTTCTTAAGGTTCCAGCTCAGATACAGTTAAATCTGTATCTGCTATATGAGCAGATACATATAGCATCCAGTTGTCACCCTCTTGTACTCAAGGGACTGTATACTTGTGTCTTGCTTTGAGAAAAGTGACTGTCTTGTATATCCAGTACTAACACAGAGCTTGATGTGATCAAGAGTTGATTGTATAATGAATGCAGTTAACTCGACTGAGGTAAAATGAAAGGGACACTATTACTATCTTGGTCACTTTGTAAATCAAGCAATTGTATATTTATTGTACAAATTTATTTGTTGTAAATAAAAAGTGAAAGTTTGTAATGTCAATAAATCTACCTGCCAGAAAGCTTAACAGAAGATGTGTTTGAAAGAGTCTACCAATGACCATCTGTTACTGTCAGAATATGCCTGGTATCAATATTCCTGGCTTCTGACACTGATCTCTGAGCTATGACCCCTAGAACCCTGATCTCTGACCCTGATCTTGCTCCCTCTTCCATTTCTCATACAATGCCACTCAAGGTTCTGGGTTGCATTTTTTTCATTAAATGTTTAACAAGTGAGAATCTGCAGCTTTGATGTTCCCTCACAGTGATGCAGGAGACCTGGGTTTGATCCCTCGGTTGGGAAGATCCCCTGGAGAAAGGAACTGCTATCCACTCCAGTATTCTGGCCTGGAGAATTCCATGGACTGAAGAGTCCATGGGATCCGCAAAGAGTTGGACACGACTGAGCGACTTTCACTTTAGGTAACCAAAGTCTTCCAGTTTTCATCATGACTTGGTATTTGAAATAACTGAGATTAAAATGTACTGATTTTAGGCTCTTAATAACACAGGTGGCTTGCCTTACTTGTTGATTATCAGCCTGGCTCCTTGTCTCATAATATCTTGTCTTTCCCTCAGTCTTAAACTATCATCTCTTCTTTCCGGTCTTCCTTTTCTACTTCAGAACCTTGACTCCTAGTTCTTATAGCAATCCAAGTCTCATATCCAATTTGGGCTAATACATTTCTTAGAATATAATATTCCTAATAATCTAATTGAAGGAAACTACATTTTCAATGATTAATTTATATTCACTCATCAAATGTTTTCTAGGACCTATTATGTTAAAGACTTCTGTTCTAAGCTTGTGAGGGCAGAGGAGACATGGCTCAAAAACCATGATTCTTTCCATCAAAGAAAATTCCACCTATTAGGAGAGAATATGGTATATATGCTTAATAAGAAAAGGGAGGTTTGCCTGAAAACCACTTTGTATTCTTGCAGAGGGACACACAGGCTTTTCTCTTGATCTTAATAACTAATTGGAATATTTGCTCTGCAACAGTGTTCTGAGATTAGTGGCTGCTTTTTTCTCCCTTTCACAGTTTTGATTTTCAGCACCAATGTACTTCTCATATTCCAGAATCAGGGAGGAGCAAAAACATAAGGATTTGATGCTTTACGAAGTAGACTTTTCTGAACTTGATTCCAAAGAGGAATGTATTTAATTAATTCAAGAACTGAGAAAGTTTGCTTGGCCAGTGAGGCAATTTTCTCTCATTTAATGACTGGAATTCACATCCTTTTAAACAAAAATCTTCATTTCTATTGACCTTCTTAAAGTTTATTAGCTCTGTATGCTTCTGTTTAATAAAAAGTATGTGATGTTAATTTTGAAGTGTGGAATCTTAAAGTCTCCATACCACTTTCAGTACAAAATAAACTTACTTTTCTAAAATGGCACAATATTATGAATGATTTACCACATTTAGAATTTTATAATATTTCTGATCCCTGCTACTTATACTCCTCCTAATACTACTGATAATAATCCAATAATAATAGCTGTCCTAAAGATACTTCTACACAGTGAGAAACGCAACTCACACCTACAATTCTCTCTAGCTAGAGAGGCCTAATCAACATACAAAGGTAGGCAACACTATTTTGAATATTATTTTCTCTATTAGAGATTAATTAAAATTGCTTTAGATAATGGGTTTCTTATCATTTGAGGCACCAGGGTTACATATTGCAGCTACAGTCACATGCATTTAATACCTTCATCCCTCACGCTCCCCTGGGTCACTAGGGACTACCCACAGAAACAGGGGAAAACTGCATTATATATGCATCTACTTTTATGTATTTCTCAAAGATAAATGATATGTTTTGTATTTATTTATCCATGGTGAAATTTATGTGCAAAAAAAGGAGTGAGCCAATTTGGCATAACTGTGCTTCTCAGCAAGGACATTCAGCAGTACATGTGAATCAGGAGCAGACTGTTCATGAAGACAGCTGAAAGGGTCTGCCAACACTCTCTTTTTACAGCTTCACCAGATTATAAATATAAAAAAAAATTGAAATTAGGTTAGAAAGCAGAATGGCCATTAATGATCATCTATAAAGAAAAAAAGTTTAGAAGGATCAGAACAAAAATTTTTTTGAAAGTATATTTAATGTCCAGAGAGATATTTTAAACTCTTCAGGGAACAGGAGTTTAAAAAATCACATGATATATATTCTAATACATGCTGTAAGATGCCCAATATTTTCATGTCCTAGTAGCTTTCATTTTAATATATTTTCAAATTCTGAATACTATGTTATAATTACTTAGACTTCTGTTTGATACAATCAAGTTAGAACATATTGAATGAGAATACTGATTTAATCAAATACTTGGTACATATGATATATCTTAATCTAAAAACAGTATTGTATTCATAAAATATAAGGCTGATATTAGTGGACTTATGATAAGTACACTATTTCATTAGTTTTTTTTTTTTAATAATTCAGCAAAGCCAAAGTTTGTGGTTATTAGTAACAAAAACAAAAATTGTGGTACAGGCAAAAAATCAATCATCATGTTTATAATTCCGAGCATAAAGGCACTAATATACTGATCCATTTCACTGATAGAATATTATGAAATAACATTATTACTTAGCCAAATTATTCAGTCCTTTCAGGCTAGCTGCATCAACTTTGGTGATTTTGTTGCCATCGAGATGTAATTCAGTAAGGGAAGGAGGAAGACCTGCAATATGGAAATACAGGAAGTTAAATTAGCAGAGAAATATAATTAGAGAATGTATGAAGACTTAATGCAGACACATGTCATCAATTTTCCAAAAGACATTCAGTTTCAAAGGATTTGCTTTGCATCTTACTCATCAGTTTTGCTTTTCATCTTTTTCCTTCATCCCTTTTACAATAATACATGTTTTCAGAAGTAGTACAAGCCATTTCTACTTTTTTGATTTTAACAAACTGTGTCTGCTATGTAGTCGATTACCATGAAGTAGATTTTTGTCCTAGGCACTGCTGATACAGTTGTAGAAGTGAAGTCAAACTCTGAACCTCATTAGTTTCTCACACCTTTGTTAACGGGTTCACACTGCCATTGACAAAGGATAATGGCTCTAAAATGAAGCTTTTGGCATCTGAAGTATAAATAAGTAATTATGGATAAGTTCAAACTTATATATAAACAAACTTAATCATGCATTTCATTACTGAGATTCATTAATAACTCTTATATACTGTGTTGGCTTTAGTTTTAATCAATTTTTCCATAAAACATCAAATGTTTCTGCAACATGATGTGTAGAAAAAGCTTACTTGATCCTTTTAAATTAAGACTGTTTCTTTATACTAGAGGAGTACAGAGTCCTATAATCAAGTGATCTGCCATCTGTAGGGCACCTGGGGAAATAATTTGAAATCCAATGCATCAGCTAAACCTCTGGATAGTACCTACTGAATGTCTATGACCTCTAAAAATGTAGTAATGTAAGTATAAAAGTTTAAATACTATATTTTCATTTCCTCTGCCATCTGAGAATCTATTATGTTTTTATACAGTTTTTTAAAATCTACATATTGTTCCATTTACAAGGACAGCAACAACTACAAAGAAAACAGCAAATTGGTTACATGGAGAACTAACATCTGCTTAGCAGATAGGGTTGGTTGTTTATAATGAATAAAATTGGAAAATCACAGGTTATGTTTGGCTTGAAATTTTCACTATATCCCACTGAACTCAGTCAAGACATTTTATTAATGTAAAAGTTTATTCCATATTTGATTTGAAAATGACTATTAATTTCTCACCAGTAGTAGATTTGTGTGGGAGATACCAAAGAAAGGGACTTCTGTTTACTGTAGGTCTGTTGTGTGCTGAACCCTGAGATTAGCATTTTCCTAACCTAGCTCATGTAAGTTTTTTCAATATATAAATTATTTTTCATTAATTCTGATTCACTGATGAAGAAACAGAGATTCACAGCTACCCATTTTGTAGATTATCTAGCTAATAAGTGGGGACTGTGTTATGCTCCCAGATGGCCAAAGAGAATAACATGCTCTTCACTGAAGAAAATGAAATAACAATGGCATGATTCTTGCAGGTAAATGTCAGGAAATCACAGTCAATAAGGACTAAGGGATTTCAATCACTTTAGTCTCAGAATATATAAATGTGGATTTTTAAAAATATTCACATAAATAAAGCAAGCGAGTATATAGCAAAACAGCGAATGTACATCCTTTCTTCCCTGTCACTATGAAAAGGTGTTTTAAAAAATGTAGTATCTCTGGAACAACAATTATCATCACATCCCTCATTCTTACCTCATTTCTAAGTGTCTTCCCTTTGGGGACATCAATTTCCCAAAAGGAAAGTTATGGTAAGTTTCACTGTGAAAGAGAAGTTTGCAATAGGAGGGTAGAGAGATCCAAATTTATAAAGAACATCATTAGTCTCTGCCACAGTGGCATTGAGCCAAAGATTCTATACTCATTACTGTTTTTCTCTTTCCCTTTTCTGTTTTTAAGATAAAATATGTTGAGAGCTTACTTTGGGCCAGATACTGTGTATGTCCAAATCTTATTTATATGTATTAATCCTCACAAATATTCTGTAAGAAGTGTCACTAATACCACCATTTTATAGGTAGCAAAACTGAGGTTTTAGAAATGTGGAGTAATAAGCCTGAAATCACGGGATAACTAAACGACTGAGTCAATCCTCTCTCCCAGGTAGGTCTAACTTCAGAGTGCGAACTTAAAAATCTCTCTACTCTACCCCATTGCCTTTGGACGCCACTCAGTGATCGGAGATAACACGTGGAAATTAAGACTCCTGGCAAGAGGCTACGTTCAGGCATAAGGGCACCAGCCTAGGAAAGGTAGACTCATACATGACATAGGTATAGATATACACAGGCAGAAGGACCTAAGACGCCAGCAGAATGAAAGGGTCAAAAACACGAGCTATGGCATCAGCCCAGCACAGCCCAGCTGTGCCACTGCCTAGCTTGGAGGCTTTGGTCACAATTCACTTTGTCTTTCAGTTTATCTTCCTCAATTATAAGACAGGTGTGATAATATTACTTAAAAGGGTCGTTTTGAGATTCATATAACAGAAGCCAAGAAAAGCATTTGGCATAATATAGCAGAATTCATGAAAAGCATTTGGCACAAGTGCTTAATAAAACTGAGTTATTATGATTTTAATTCTATTAAGAGTTCAGTAAATAAAAGTAAGTAGAGAAGATGAGAAAAGAGCACCTAGCATAATAATAAATAGATATAAGAAATCAAGGAAAACTGATCACTAGGTGATGAAATGTGTTACTGAAATATATTTAGGAGATGTAATTAGAAGTACAGCAAAATCAAAGAATGTGCTTTAATGCAAGTCATCTGGTAGCATGAAGTAATAAAAAATACCTGGACTTTAAATTCCAGCTACTTTATACTTTACCTCCTACAGCTCTAAGGCTTTAGAGAATATATATATGTGTGTGTGTGTGTGTGTGTGTGTGTGTGTGTGTCTGTATATGCATATATATATATATATATATATATAAAATAAAATGTACTATTGTAAGTGTAAATTAAAATATATTTACAAACATAAAATCCCTGCACTGGTGATGTAAAAATTACCTATTACCATGTAACAAATCAGAGACTCAATATGAAAGTACTGTGTGAACTATAAATCAATCTCCTTCATCTATCTGTCTATCATCTGTCTATTGATCTATCATCTATCTATCATCTATACCAGTAGTTGCTATCAATGGGCATCAAAAAGGCTTTGTAGCAAAAATATTATAGAGAGGGCAAGGGGTAGTAAGAACCATCCTATGCACTAAGTACTCTCTAGACCTGAAATTGCAGTAGAAGCACAATAAAGGATAATTGTTTCCTGTGGGCAAGTACCTGTATTTTGTATCAATTCAAGAATGAGACATCTAAACTGAGGAAAGGCCAGATTGAGGGGAAAATTTGAGAGTACAGAGGTGGTTTTGTGTGACTGAAATACCAGGGACCAGAAAAATGTGAAAATTAGCGAAACTTATTTTTGCTGATTTATTTGCTTAAAAGCCTCTCTTGACTAAACCTTAGAATGGTGAACTTATCCCTGTGACTGTGTGATGATTGCTGTTTACTTGCCTGGCTTCGCTCTAGGCTATAAGCTTTTTGAAGGCAGGCCTATATCCTATTCATGCCCTGTCTCCATCCTTATACTTTGCCTAAGCTAAATGAGTGTTTAAAATACTTTTAATGAATAATAGAAGGTAACAGTTACCCACTACTTATTTATAGGCCAGATATTTTTCTATGGATTTAATTTTAAAACAATCCAACAAAGTGGATACTAATATTATTACCACTTTACAGATTTTACAAATGTGTCATAGATGGTGAATAACTTGTCCAAGATCATACAGCCAAATAGTGACAGTCTGAACTCAAGCAGACTCCAAAATCCACACTCTTTACAACATATAACCACCACTCTTAAAAGAGCGTGACCATTGTAGATCCTGTTATTAAGATAGTAATGACTAGAATGTCCTAAAATGCAATGGAACTCACTATGGGATTAGAGACTCAAAGTAAAAATTGGCTCAATTTCAGACGTTCTTCCATAGTATCATTTTTTAAAACAAAGTACTACAAAAGCAGTCTGTTTTTTTTAAATAACTGTAATCTTTTCTTTATGATATCACAGTTCTATAATTTAAAATAATTGTGTGTTAACTTGCATCTTACATTAGATGTAATTATCTTTATAGCTGAAAGAGTCTAGCCTTCTCTACAATCAGCCTGGATGGCCCAGTGGCCAGCTAGTTTTACTGGAACACTTCAAGGGATAGAGAATTTACTAGAAATGATGTTGGCCACTTGAGTCACCATTCAAATTTTCAAAGTCATTTTGTTTTTTTAGTGCCAAAGCTTTTGGATTTAGATATTTAAATTGCTTTGAAGACCCATGGCTGATTCAAGTCAATGTATGGCAAAAACCACTACAATATTATAAAGTAATTAGCTTCCAGTCAAAATAAATAAATTGATTTTTTTTTAAAGAAGAATATCAAATGAACAAAATATATTTAAAAAAAAAGAATTTTCATCACCTTGAGGGATGGTGGTTATATTAGTGTCAGCAATGCGGATGTAGGAGAGCTTCTTCATTCCCTGAAAGGCTCCATTTTCAATGCCTGAACTCTTCAGCGGATTGGTGCCAAGTTCTACAAATGCAATAAGTGCAAAACTTTCAGAGGACAACCTGAGGAAATTGCAAGCCAGAGTAGTGTCTGCTCAACAAGAAAAATTTGGATCAGTAACAACTTGACTGAAAATACAAAAGAGAAAATAAAGGGCTTGTGTCTCAAAGGGATGGCAAAATGTGGTAAAAGTATCCCTTATTAAAACAACCAAAAACAATAACATTAACAAAAATGATTTAGGAAAAAGTAATAATATAAAAAACAATAACAACAAAATTACTCAAGGTCCATACACAGGTTTGCCTAGAAATCAACAAAAGTGAGTTTTTATAAATCACACTTGTTATAGGGCAATTACTAAGATATATTAAAATACTGTTAAATAATATGAATCTAGCATTTTGTAAGCCAATTATAATATGACAAATATTTTATCACACATAGAGAAAAACATTAGAACACATTATTTAAAGCAAATGATTTATAGATGTTCAGACTAAATTCCAATAATGTAAAGGTATTCTCCAAATATCTCTAATTAAGCACAGCTTAATTCCATCCTGCATCCTGGGCCTGCAGTAGGTAGTGTAGCATCAGCCTAGAGATTTCTTCCTACATTTTCAGATCCTCAAGTTCAAGAATAAAAGTTTTGTAAGGCACAGATTCAATACCCATTTCTCCTGGCCTAGCTACTGTTATTTCTACATGCTTTAAGAGCTGTAAATTCTAGCTAATTTACCTTCCTGTAGCTAAAGCTTACTTGTAATCTCTTAAGGTGAACCTTGAATCCTGGTTTTAGAGCTATAAGAATATCTGTACCTACGACGATCATCTGGTTCAATCCATTGAACACAGACTTTCGCACTTTGGTGATCTCATTCTCGTGGACACGCAGCTCCTGAAGAGTTTTGGGCATTTTCTCTGGCAATTCCTTCAGTTGATTCTTGGACAGATAAAGTCGTTCCAATTTCACCAAAGGGGCAAATGCCCCAGGGCTGATTTTGCTAATTTTGTTGTTGATGAGAATCAGTGTCTGTAGATAGTGAACAAAAGGAACATTTTAATTCCAGAACCTTCCACACATAAATATGTATGTCAAGCGTGTAATTTCATTCCATTTATGGGACTAGCAGAGAAATCTGCAAAATTAGAAGAAATTGGAAAAAAAATTAAACTGATCTGATTACTTGAAAAGCACATGAGAATCTGAACATCAGGAGAAAAGGGGAGAGAAATTTGATAAAATGCAAGTTATACATACAGAGATATGAATATTTAATTTTTAAACAATAAATGCTCCAAAATATTGAAATTCCTAGAGTCACCTGGAAAGAATCTAGTGCCATAGACATCTATTCTCCAGTCAGCTTTTCAACCTGTAAGTCCATCTTCATTGGCTGTTGTCATGGAATCCACTACAAAATGGTGGCACTAATTTATACCATCACCAACAATGCAAGAGAGCAAAATTATCCTGTAGCCTCGCAGAATGTGATATAATCATTTTCCAAAAGTTTGCAAATCAACACATTATGTTGTAGCTCATTGCTTTACTTTGAATTACCTTGTCTCTTGAGAGGTTAAAGAAATTTCCTTTTCTTTTACTGCCATTTACTTTATTTTCTGGAGGAAAAGGATTGCTTGGTCACAAAACTTCTCATTTTTCTTAATGTTTAATGTATTTTAAAAAATGATTTATGGATACATTATATTTTCCTTCTGCTTTTGCTCATTTTGCACATAATGGTTTTATGTAATCAAATATGTTAATTTTTTGTAATTTTAAAATGTGTGTTTCTAAGTTCTCCTAATGTAGGAAATTACTTGTAATTCATTATTGTTATACTATAGATACTGCTACACCTACTTTTGGACTACCTCAATTATTTTCCAATGATCTATGTGTATACAGAACCACACTGCATTATGTCAACTTGTTGACTTATCATAAGGAATTTAGGATAATATTATCAAGATCTAAGAAACTTCTATTTTCAATTGTGGTTTGTTTTTAGGCAATGTGAAAATGTAAAGCAGCAAGAAAGGAACAAGAGGAATAGAAGAGTGGGAACTTTCCATCTCAAAAATGTAAGACTATTTTTGGAAGGTAATAGCTAGTTTAATAACCCATGTACATTCTCATGTAGTTCACATTATTTGATTAAAACTAATTACAAATAATAAGTTAATAATCTTTTTAACTATCCTAACAGGTGAATTGTTTGATTAAAATAAAATCCTAGGAAATTTCAGTAACTATTACAGAAAGTTAAAAAAAGAAACATGAAGGTTAAAGTCTTAGGAAATTGATATTAATAAGCAAAATGTCCAGAAAAATCAGTAAAAGCCAGAGCTAGAGGAGAGAAGAGAGGACTTGCATCATTAAAAAACAGTCAAAATGGTGGATGCTTAATTATAAACACAGGACGTCCTTAAGTGCCAACCGTGGAAGGAAATTCTGAAAGTCTGATATAATTAAATGCACTAAACCTGGTATGAAAAATATGTTTTATTTTATGTTGAATGTTGAAACCTATTATGAAGAGTCAACCTGCTGATGTATTACCTGCCATTTCAGGTAATAAAATATCGCTTCTTTTACTAGATAATAACTAGATAATGTCTCTACTAGTGAGTATGCTATAATAATAACTGCTGCTATATTTAGGAGGTGGTGTGACATTTGTCCCTAGTTATTTCTTCAGTAAAGCAGAAATAATAATAACACCTACAGGGGCTTGTTGTGAGGACTAAAAAAATCAATCATGTATATAGACTGCTTTCTTGCAAAGTAACTTTCAAATAGCATTGTTTGTAGTCCAGCAAGAAGAATCACCACTGAAAAATAAATAAACTTCAAGTTTTGATCATCATGATATAAAGTGGAATGTTAGTTGCTCAGTTGTGTCTGACTCTTGGTGACCCCATGGACTTTAGCCCGCCAGGCTCTTCTATCCGTGGGATTCTTCAGGCAAGACTGGAGTAGACTGCCATTCCCTTATCCAGGGAATCTTCCCGACCCAGGAAATGAACCCAGGTTTCTTGCCTTCTAGGCAGATTCTTTTCCAAGACCTGTATAAATTAGAGTTTCATATAAAACAGATCCACATGTGAAAAAAGTCACTCGTATATTTAGTACTGCTGAGAATGGCTAACATTACTTCTATACACAGGGATAGGTATTTAGGAAAGCATGGTTTATAAAATTATATGGCAAATGTTGATATGGCAAAAAATGGACTAATTACACTGACTAATGACAAAGCCCAGATAAACCAGAGAAAGAGTCAAAGGTAAACCATGTATATTGTTCAGGAGATCAGCTGATGAAAAGAAGAAAGACAAGCAGAAATGGACTATCATTATTTAGATAACAGGATGAGAGAAGCCAGATTAGGAGGGGCACTGTTGCTTGAGGATCAGAAAATGCCCTGAGTGCCATTTAACCTAAAAGTGAAGCACAGGCTCAAAAAATCAGAACTACCTACTTCTTTGTAACTAAAGAAAAAGTGATGTAGCCTGGTAGGTAGGGGAGAGATGATGAAAAAGTGACTGGCAATAGAAATAGGGTGAAGGAGGAGTAAAAGCATTTTCACCACCTTCATCAAAGAAAGTAGTCAAAAGGTACAGACTTCCAGTTTTAAGACCAATAGGTACTGGGAATGCAATGTATAAAATGACAATAGTGAACACTGCTGTATGGTATGCCTGAACATTGCTAAGAGAGTAAATCCTATAAGTTCTCATCACAAAGAAAACATTTGTTTTTCTTCTTTTTTAATATCTGTATGAGATGATAGATATTAATTAAACATACTATGGTAATCACTTCACAATATATGTATGCCAAGTTATTATGCTCTACTCCTTGAAGTTGTATGAAAGTGAAAGTGTTAGTCACTCAGGTGACTCTTTGTGACCCTATGGACTGCAGCCCACCAGGTTCCTCTGTCCATGGATTTCTCAGGCAAGAATAGTGAAGTGGGTTGCTATTTCCTTCTCCAGGGGATCCTCCCAACCCAGGGATCAAACCGAAGTCTCCTGCATTGCAGGCAGATTCTTTACTGGCTAAGTCATCAGAGTATCCCTGGTGAAGATATATAGTGCTGTATATTAATTATATTTCAATAAAATTGAAAGGAAAAATGTTGAAATCCAAATTAATAGTATGTACAACTTTCCCCAAAGCCACTAATGTAGGGCTCATACTGTACGAGGGGTTGTTTTAAGGAATTTTATTGTTATCATATTTACAGACAATGATAAGTACACAGACTTGAACCAGACTGCTCCTGAGTTTAGGGCTCAAGCTCTGGCTATTATTTGCTGTGTGACAATAAGCAAGTAGCATAACCGCACTGTGCCTGTGTGCCCTCATCTGTATTAAGGTGTTATCTAGAGTGTCTACTTCATTAGAACAATTATAATAATTAAATAAGTTAATGAATACAAGATATTAGAAACAGTGCTTAGTACGTGTGTGTGAAATTCGCTCAGTTGTGTCTGACTCTTTGCACACCCCATGGACTACACAGTCCATAGAATTCTCCAGGCCAGAAAACTGGAGTGGGTAGCCAGGGGATCCCCTTCTCCAGGGGATCTTCCCAACCCAGGGATTGAACTCAGGACTCCTGCATTGCTGGTGGATTCTTTACCAGCTTAGCCACCAGGGAAGCCCCATAGTAATGACTAAACAAGTGCTTGGCTTTTTGAAAATTAAAGCACTGTAGAATTTAAAGATTCTTTCAATCAAAAAAAAAAAAAACCTATCCATTAAATCCAAAAAAAGAACAAATGTTTGCTATTATCAATTCTTGACAATGTTTGTTCATCTTTAATTAAAACAAAAGTTTTTTACTAGATTTATTTCCCAGGTGACTCAATGGTAAAGAATCTGCCTGCCAACACATAAGACACAGGAGACACAGATTTGATCACTGGGTTGGGAAGATTCCCTGAAGGAGGAAATGGCAACCCCCTCTTCTATTCTTGCCTGGAGAATCCCATGGACAGAGGAGCCTGGTGGGCTACAGCCCATGGGATTGCAGTGTCAGACACGACTGAGCAAGAATGCAGCTAAACTTTAATTCAAAGGAAGTACATAGAATGTTGGATTATAATGTTTAACTTTCCATTATTTTATAGAATAATTGCTTATTTTTATGCTATTTATAAGAATACGGCTACTCTCAAGCAGTACGTACCGCTCATAGTGAGGCGCAATTGTAAACTGGAAAAATTCAAAGTCAGACACGACTGAGCAACTGAACTGACTGAGGGAAATAAAGCAACATTTTTCTCTTAAATCCTTTCCATTTTAATCCTTAGTAAATTTTTATTTCTCTCCCTTCTCATTCAAGGGTGGCTTTCCTTGCTAAAATTACGATGTTTATTTGCCTAATAACAAGGATAGAAATGATCATGAATGAAAGAGTAAGAGAAAAATAGCTGTTTAACATCCTCTAAATGTTTAGAAGCTCTAATAAACTCTCTCTCTTCTTTCAGTATTTACTTTAAATTAGAAAGAAAGGGATTGCCAAGATGATAAATTGCCTAAAAACATACTTAGGAGCGTATCAGGCAAAAAAAGAACACATTATTACAAACATCAGATTTAGTGAGAAGGTCACAGAGCTAGGTATCTCTTATTTAAGGTATGAGAAGTTTAAACAAACTTTTGAGATAACATTTAAACAAACAGGAATTGAGATCAAGAGACTTTTCCTTTCTTAAAAAGTAGCTTGAGGGTAAATTTATGCAAATAAAATGAAGTATTTTATATTTTTGTTTATTGAAGCTAATATATTCATTTTTTTATTATTGCCTCTTTTAACTTGTTCAATAGTTAGTTTAAATAATCACTAACAAACTTTGTTGGCATCTCCATCAGCTCACTCCCAGTGAAATCAGAACATGGAATAGAGGAAGGCGAGTAGGGTCCCATGTCCTGTATCCTGTCAGTGGAGAAGGATCCCACTGGTCCAGGGTTCATCTACAGCTCAGGCCTCAGCTTCCACTATTTTGGAGTCTGTATCTTTCACTTTAGCCATCTTCTATTCTTGTCTCTTGATCATTTTCTTCTGCCTTTCCTTCCTCTTGCACAGAAAACTCTTCTCTTCCTTTCAAAATTCTGCTAATCCTCTATGACCCTTTTGTCTCATATTATCTCAAAACACCATCTGGGTAACCTGATGTAGGAACATGTCTTTTTTTTTCTCATCATTAGTGCCCATAATATTCACTACTTATATCATAATGTGCCTATATTACTTCAGTAATTTGATGATGTCATTTATTATGGCTATTATGTTTATTAACTGTTTCATGAGCAATCTTAAAATGTCAAGGAAAAATTCTTTGCTTCCTTTTTAAAATCTGTTAAATTTTCTCCTACTGGGTAAATGTTGCCTTTCTCATCTTGGCTGTTTGAAGGTTGATAAGTACATAATGTCTTGATCGTGACATCCCTTTTCTGCTGGAATCCTGACTGGTAGACTGTGTTACCTTATACTAGATTAGAGGGAAGTGAAAAATCAGAATACACACACAGATACAGATAAGAATTCAGCACGTGCATGCTCAATCAGTCAGTTGTGTTCTACTCTTTGTGACCCCATGGACAGAGTCAGCCTGCCAGGCTTCTTTGTCCATGGGATTCTCCAGGCAAGAATACTGGAGTGGGTTGCCATGCCCTCCTCCAGGGGATTTTCCCAACCCAGGGATCAAACCCATGTTTCTTGAGCCTCCTAAAGAAAACAGAACAATGAAATAAACTAAGATCAGTCCACTTTGTTCCACTGTTGAAATAAGTTCTCGGGAAGATATTGGAAAGAGAAAGATTTTTATCAGTGAAATGTGAGAAGATTAAGATATAATGTATCTTTTAGAAAGGAAATACTAAAGCTACATAGGCTTTGTTGCCAGTGGTTAGTCTCTCAGTCATGTTTGACTTCTTTGTGACCCCATGAAATGTAGCTCGCCAGGCTCCTCTGTCCATGGGATTTCTCAGGCACGAATACTGGAGTGGGTTCCCATTTCCTTCTCCAGAGGATCTTCCCCGCCCAGGGATCAAACCCAAGTCTCCTGCATTGGCAGGCAGGTTCTTTACCACTGAGCCACAAGGGAAGCCTATAGAGGGGTATACGTGAGAAAATTGGCTCTGATTTTTAGGGGTTAATACCATGCTCTACTCCATCACTCCCTAAAAAGAGAATTTAATAAACACTTATGTGCTTATTTATTAGCACAGAGCACTCTTGACCTTACCTAAGTTTTGTTTTCAAAAATACTTTGAGTCAGATCTTGTTATAGCTCAAGAAAATGGCAATTCTTACATGAAGGTTCTTCAGGTTCTTAAAGTCTCCATCTTTGATCTCAGTTATTTTGTTGTTTTGCAGGTCCAGCAGCGCAGTATCCGGAGGAAGGTCTTTTGGCACTGCCTCCAGACCTAGCAGGGGAGGAAAAGCAACATGCAGTCATTAAAAAGGGACACATGAGCACAGAGTCACAAAGAATGCGTTTACAAAGATAGTAGTGTTTCAGTGATAGTCTTCCACTAGCACATTTGTCTTCTTCCAGGAATTATATCAACTGTTGTTTAAAATATCTGCTTTACCTTTTCTAACAAAGTCTAAGGATTTATTTAAAAAAAATCATAAACAGAGCACACTATTTACCCATGTAATTACTCTTTTGCATAAAAGAAAAATTAATCGTTTGCCAGGTATGGTTCAAATGTCTCCATACACAGTGTGTTCACCTCATTGTTCTTATTTTAGAGAGTCATTTCTTTGATAAGTGTTAAGTGGAAGTGATTTGTAAATCTATACCTTTCTATATAAACATGCTTTCAGTAGAGAACTTTAACCAAATCATCAAATATTCTTTTGATAAACTTAGCACTATCGCAGATCTACATATAAAATTAAAATTATGTGAGTATGTAACCATGCTATTGTGTCAACACTTGAAAATTTATTCAAAGCTTTTGGGAGAATGGTTCTTTCAGTTTTAATTAACAAAACAGTATCAATTTTATGACTATTAATCAGAATAAAATGAATAAAATTTGTGATTGTAACTTCTCTAAAATGTATTATACAAAGCGTTACTTTCAGACTTTAAATTTGGATCTAAATAACTGAGTTTTTAGTTTATGAATGCAAATACATTGAAAAACTAAATGTTCTATGGCATTAAAAAGACATTTTCATAGTCATTCCACTAGATGTATAAGGATAGATTGCTTTTATTCAAAAGGCATGGCATTTAAAATAAATTATCATGATGAATGTTAATGGAGATAATATTAAATTATGAGGTCTTTTGCCTTGCTTTCTTCCATTGGCTTTGTCCCATATTAATATAAGATGATATTTTATTAACTCAAATTCATATACATTTTCATATTAATATTTTAAGATTGTATAACAAATCAGAAGTGCTTTTTAACCTCTTCATTATATCTGAAACTTGAAGTGCTGAAGATTATTCTTTCATTCATTCAATAAAGGCTTAGTGAATATTTTTAGACATCATTAATTTATTAGGCAGGCCCTGCCTGAGGATATATCAGGCACAAGATAGAAATTGCCCAAATTTTCATGGAAAAAAGAATTCAATCTAGAGTTTTCAATTAAAAGGAAAATTACAACAGGGTATATAATAACTAGGTTGGGAAGATATCTTTTTGATTTTTATCATACATAAGCATATGAAGGTAGATTATCAAGGTAACCATATTTCTATTTTCATATTTCCTTGGAAATTACAGAAAATGTATCTGAAATCACCAACTTCTACTTTCTTTCTGAAGAATTTTTCACATTATCACTATCTGATGATAGTGGAAAGAAGTCTATAGTTTCCAATTCAGTGATCAGCTATGCTTATAAACATCAAAATGCAGGTAATTCTGCACATGCATAAATATATTCTAACAACTAACTCCGGAAATAGTTCACACAGAAATGAAGTGTTTTCAGTGACAAACAGCAAACCACAGAACAGCCACCTTGTAGGAGAATACTTAACTGCACTATACATTCATGATCACTGCCATTTTCAGAAATGTCAGTTTGCTAATTTCATGCAATTAAGGAGTGTCAGACTTCTGCCAAATCTTTGATAATTAGTGTTCTTTAATGAAGAAAAGACATGTTTCCTTTCATTTGAAAAAAAGTTACTGCCTACATTTTATTATTACTTCATGGGCTTCTTTGTCCAATTCTTAATTCCCACTTTTGCTTACTTTTATACACTGTTGAATGTGAATTCTAGTGTTCAGTGTCAAAATTGCCTTAACAGTTGTTCAGTGCCAAAGTGCAGGTTCATTTCAAATGTGGACAAAAAATGATATATCTGGATGGCTGATCATTTTGATTACTTATGTTGTCATTCTAGAATTTTATAATAACAAAAATTACGTGGGATGAATTATATACATCGTTCCCCTGATGATTTACCATAAAAAAATCAGGTTTGTGGCTTTTGCAGCTTAGTTCTTAGAGAGTCATCTTAATGATTAAAATCATAACCCTACAATCTCTGAATTACTAGAAAATTTATATTCACTTGAGGGACTTAAGAGATTTGTATTCTATTATTAAAACTTTATATTTGCATAGCTTTACAATTTATAAAAAATGAAAATATGTTACCTCATTAATCTCACAGCAATCAAATGAAATAGGTAAGGCAGTATGATAATTTCATTTTTTCAGAAGGTTTTTAGAAAAAGTTCGGTGATATGAACAAGCTCATGTAACTGGAGTGACAAAATGTAGGTGAAAAGACTATTCTCTTGGTTTCCAACAGGATATTATTTTTTTCCTGTCATCCCTATTTGTATCCCTAACAAGAACTGTTCTGACATCAGACTCAATAACATACTGAAAGGGCTAGATAAGGCATCAGAGTGCTAACTAAGCTCACTCAGAAATTACAGGAAGAATACAAAGGGGAATAATCCTAGCTATGTATTCTTAGAATGTCACAAAGGGAAGGACCATTAAATATCAGCTAGTCTTTGATTCCTAAATGCTGATCAGGTAGACTCTATGATGATGTTCTTATCAGTCTGTGTCAAAATCAGAAACCTATAGGGAAATTTGGTTATTTGGTTTTTGCAACCTATTTGGAAATTTGGTTTTAATATAAATTATCAGATATACATATATATGTGCACACACACCTTTGTGAGGCTAACTCCTGCCTCCATTTAAAATATACCTTCTTTTTAAAAAAGGTAATTATTTGGCTGCTCCAAATTTGGTCTTATTTGTGAAACTCGGGATCCTTACATATTCTTATCAATACACACTTGTCCAACCCCATTGAAAGATGGAGTCAAATTCTTCTCCCTTCAAATTTGGCATGGCCTTATGATGTCTCTCAGAACTAAGGGGCTGTGGTGAAGGTGACACGGCATGACTTTTGGAACTAGGTCAGAAAAGGCTGTTTCTACCCAGTTCTTCTGGGATGTTTTCTCTGGGGACAGTGTGGGGTCATGTAAGTTGAGTCTGTCTACATAGAGACCGCTGTGCTGATGAGGCCACCGGAAGACCCTCCAGCTGACAGAGGAGCTGAGCTCCCAGGCGAGAGCAGCACCAACTGTCAGTCACTAGAGCGAGCTGCCTTGAGGTGACCCACACCGGGTCAGCCTCACCACGGTTATGGCCTCAGCCAACACGCATGCGTGCTACGTCACATCTGCCTGCGACCCTGTGGACCGTAGCCCGCCAGGCTCCTCTGGCCGTGGGGCCCTCCAGGCAAGAATACTGGAGTGGGTTGCTCTCCGCTCCTCCAGGGGATCTTCCCACCCCAGGGATGGAACCCGCATCTCTTATATCTCCTACACTGGCAGGTGGGTTCTTTACCACTAGCGCCATCTGGAAAACCGCGGCCACCTGACTGCAAATGCCTAACAGACCCCAAGGGAGAGCAGCCCTTCTAAGCCCTGCTCAAATTTTCTGTAGCTTAAATTATGAGCAAATAAAATTATTTTTAAGTCACTTAGTTTTGAGGTAATATTTACTCAAAATAGTAACAGGAACAAAGTGGTTTCCTAAATCTAATTATTTTTCAATGAGCATTCTTTAATAGAATTCTAAATCTTTTGTTAAAACACAATTGTTTTCAAGCCTAGACTGAATTATTTAGTTGCTCTTCCAAATTCAGTAAAGGAAACTTTATCTTCTGTAAAATTGGGTTATTAATTAAAGTAAATAAAACTCTATTTAAC